AGTCACTGGGGCTGACAGAGGTTAATTGCTCAAAAAATAGGAATTTATGCTACTGAAAATCTATATGGGGAGGAAGAGAGAGGTATAGGTTAGCTGAATCAATGTAAGAAACTGAAAGGGGAATTATAACATCAGAAATATGAGCAACAACCCTACTTGACATAGAGTAGGAAGTAATTAAAATGCACCACCAGCCTCAATGATTAGGTGAAGTCTAACTATAGTGACTTCAAAGGTAATTTATCCAATATATGTCTGTGCACTGTTGTGCTTTGAAAGAACCACAGTAGCACACTGGTTTTTATCCTAGGAAGGAATAAAAGAATCAATGGCAAATGTAGATGTAGAACTTTGGATACCAAAAATGGAAAGCTCAACAGAGGATATAACTGACTGAGCAGGAACACAGCAAACTGGTAAACTGTGTATTTGTTTGATTTTGATTAGGTTTTGTTTTTACTTATAATTCTACTCCCCTTGGATACAGTGACTCCTTATGGATTAGAGCATCCTTTTTGCAAGGCTTGAAGTTGTGTTTGTGAGGCTTTAACCGAGACGTCACAAGTCCATCAGTTCTGAGTCTCCTTGCCAAAGTGAAGTCTGTCATTGCTTCTGAATGGTTCTGTATATAGAAGCTGACAGCACAGGCAAGAATCTACACTTTTTCACCTGCAAAATAGAACAACTTTTAATATAGGCATTTTCAGAACCAAGAAAACAAATTTCTAGTTGTCTGCTAAAACACTAGACTTAAGAATGCATCAGGAACTTCAGTCAGTATGGATTATAGTGGCAAAACATCACATTATGGAGGTAGGAGGAAATAAATCAGCAGTCTGTTTTTCAACATGTAAGGTTTTAATCTGGTGTTCTTTGTGAGATTTATTTTTTTCTGCCATGCTGCTTTTCCAGCATGATGTCTTCTGAAGAGTTTAACTAAAAAACAGTGATCCAGAAACCATCTACATGCTGGCAACATGTGTCAAGTAACTGAAATTGCAAAATAAGTGATGAATTGATGGAGTGCTAGGACCCTGTGTGGCAGTTCCACTGCCAAAGAAAGGTGTCAGCATTGGACACCCAGGAAAAAGACAGACAGCCTGTATGGTATCCAAAATTACTTCAGTGCAGATTGGATTCAGTGCTTTTTTCCTCTAAGTTTGGCAACTATATTACCAAAATTAATCTTTAGTCACTTAATCTGTGTAGTGGAGAAGGAAAAAGGGCTTCACTGATGACAAAGAGATTAAAAAGTAAAGGATACAGTTGGAAGGGTAGGGGGTTTTCTTCAGCTTTCTACCAGTCATGACCTGAGATTCAAAGAGGCAGAGTGCTGACTCCTGCCCTTGGGTCACAACAAGCTCCTGCAGGCTGGGGACAGAGTGCCTGGAAAGCTGCTCAGTGGAAAAGGACCTGGGGATGCTGGTTGACAGCAGCTGAACATGAATTAGCATGTGCCCAGGTGGCAGAGAAGGCCAGTGGCATCCTGGCTTGTATCAGAGATAGTGTGGCCAGCAGGACCTTATAGAGTCCAAGATACTGTTGGCCTTCCTGGGAACAAAGGCCATGAACCACATGTTCAGCTTGTTCTTCACCAGGATCCACAGGTCCTTTTCTGCAAAGCTGCTTTCCAGTCTGTGAACTCTGTGGGATCTTGATAGTCCATTTCACCAGACTCTTGAGGTCCCTTTGAATCACTTACATATCAAGCACTCCTCACAGTTTTGCATTCCCTGCCATCTTGCTGAGGCTGCACTCAGTCCTCTTATCCAGGTCATTGATGGAGGTGTTGGGCAGTATTTGCCACTGGGTACTCCGGTAGGGTCTGGCCTCTAGGTGGTCTTTGTGCCACTTGCCAAAGCACTTTGAACCTAGCAGTTCAGCCAGCTTTCAGCCCACCTCACTGTCCACTTGCCTAACTTGTACTCCATCAGCTTGTCTGAGGCTCTTATGAGTGACTGTTTTGAAAGCCTTGCTGGAGTCAAGGTAAACAACATCTGCTGTCCTCCTGCTCTCCCTGCATTGACAGAGCTGCTCACTGCATTGCAGAAGGCTGTTGCTGCTTAAGCGTGATTTCCCTTTTCTAAATCCATACTGACTACCACAGCTAATCTGCTTGACTTTAATATGTTTGCAGATATTTTCTAGGATTATTTGCTCCATCATCTTCCTGGGAACTTAGGAGACACTGATTGGCCTGTAGTTTTCTGTATCTTCCTTCTTGCCCTCGTGGAAGAAAGGAGTAACAGTGGTGTTCTTCCAGTATTCAGAAACGTCCCCTGATCATCACAGCCTTTCAGACATAATTGAAACTGGGACCTTGGCTTCATCTATCCTTCTAGCAACTGGAACCTCTGGAAATGAATTTTGGATTATGGTGTTGGATTTTTTAATGTTTTTTAATATATTTTTAAATAATGCTAGGGTTTTCTTGTTAATCATCTGCTAGAATAGCTTAACCGTTTTTCCCCCTCACTCAGCAACAATGAAGAGAAGTATTAATAGTTATCTTTCACAACTAGTTTTTCCATCACGTCATTTCAAGCGTATTCCTTCTTGTCTGCTGGTGCATGATTTTTCAGAGAGTGCAATTTGGTTTCTTTATAACTTCTAACAAGATGTTGAAGCCCTTTTCTAACAATGAGGGTTAAGTCGCATCTCAGATTGGATCTGTGAAGGTTTTGCAGAAATACTTGAAATAAATGCAAAAATACATTCTGTATTATGTAGTCCAAGGTGGTAATAATCATTATCCAAAGCCACATTAATTTTCCACTCCTGATACAATAAAACAGCCATCTGACCCAAGCAGAGGAAATGGATGTTCTCTTTATTTCTCTATCCTTTCTAATATCTAGAGTAAGTTTATCTCATCAGATTTGGTGATCTATGCCTTAGAATACATCACCTCCAGGGGAGTCTTAGGACATCTTGTTAGTATGTGTCTTACGCAGACTGAACTGCCCACTGGAGATTCCTGTCTTTTTCTGCTGGCTATAGAGGGATTCTAGACAGGTAGTTTAGACCAACAACTAGCCTAAAGACATCTAAAATTAGATGAGAGGAATGTGTTGAGCTATTCCAAGAGCTTAAAAATGAACATTGCAACTTAATGTTTCTTGACTTATCTGTTTTGTGAAGATGCTATCAAATTATGAGTTGTTGACTAATTTACAAGTGAGAGGACATTTTGCACTTGGAATTACTTGCTAGTGTTTTTCAAAATTATTAGTAGCACTTCTAAAATTGCATTGAAAGCAGATGTTGTGCATATGCTCTCAGTGAAAACAATATGGCAACAGAGTGATTTATTTTTACCATTGGAGATAGATTTCAAAATATGTTTGGGTTGGGTTTTTTCACTTTGATCAGGATTTTGAAGCTAATGAGATAAGGAACACTAATCACTGAGAATAACTATAAAATGCCTCCAGCACAGGTTAAAGAGTTATCTTGCTAAGTACATGTCAGAGTAGCAGTGTCAGGCACAATGAAAAGTCCATACAATGATCTGTACTGTAAGAATGATTCTGTAAATCAGAATTAAAATGTGTTTTGTTTTCTTGAAATGTGTAAAATTAGGCTCCCACATTCATGTTCAGGTACATAATAAAGGACTTTATTTTCTAAGGATCTACTGGCTTCCATGGCCACTCAAACTGTGCATTATTTCTTCGAGCATGCACTGATCCTCCCCAGCTTGTTGTTCACAGAAATCAATAGTTGCCAATAGGAGTGTTAGTTTTGTGCACAGGTTAAATCACCACTTCTTTCAGAATATGATTTCAAAATATGCATTGCAATAAGCATTGCCACAACTGTATTGTTAAATGGTTCTAGAAGCTAAAGAATACAGTACTGGAGTTGGCAAGTGTTTCTTCTGGGTCAAACGGTACTGATGGATTGAGAACAGTATTTCTAGGTTTTCCTTGTGCTGTGAAATGATTCTGCATATTATGTTGTAGTTTCCTATCTCTTTCTACTGTGCTATGGCAGGTGTTCAACTTTAATTCTTTTGATTGTAGGTCTTTAAGGATGATACTAAGACTAGAAATTATACTGTTCTTGTTTGGGGATTTTGTTCTTTTACTTCTGCTTTAAATTTCAGCAGCTTTTGCTGTCTGATTACATCCCTCTTAAGTTTAAAAAAAACCAATTTTGAGTTCAAAACTGCATAGAAAATGATCATTCTGTTTTGGAAATTACACAGCACTATTCCTACCCCCTGAATTCCCAGTATTACATAATATTAGTGTGTTCATCCAATTCTTGAACTACTTGCAAATTAATTGCATGACTTCATGAAATCAGAGGTTGATACACATCTCTTGTTGTGTGTTACCTTTCTGGATGAAGAGGCATCCAGAACAGAAGGGAACTGTCATGTGTTGTCTTTCATGCTTTGCTGGAGGTGTATGAACTCAGGTCTTGAAAGAAAGTCTTCTGCTGTTCCTAGTCCTGCATGTTGATTGATAAACTTTGCTCTCACTTTTAGCTTTGACTGATGGGCTGTAGTCAATAAAGAGTTCCTTCTTTAATTTATCATGCATTTCAAGAAGGTGGGACTAAATATTAGGAAAACTTCTAAAGTTTGAAGAACACTCTGTTCCCTTAGCCTTAAGACAATGCTCTCATGTATTATTTTCTGAAAAGCAATGCAATGTGTCTAAAAAACACATGTTAAAACAGAAGAAATGTCTTCTTAATGGGTTGCTAATTATGTTCTATGGCTCATCCAGAGATTAGGATATGGAAGAACTTCCAAAGACAAATCACTGTAAGAAGCTTCCAGTTCGCAAGGAAGAGCAATATTCAAAAGTGTCTGTAGTTGCGGAGTGTGAAGATTCCTTTGAGAGGCCAAGTGGTTAATCTTATTCATTATATGGGAAAAACTCATTGACACTAGTATCACCAATGCTCTTATACTGGTTATAAACTGTTCATAAACATGTTTTCATCAGGTTTAACTTACAAAGCATTTTTATTCTTCTTATTTGTAGAACATTCAAGGGATCTCTAAACATCCACTTAAAATTGCAAAGAAACAGTACATAAGAGGTAAGCTATGTTTTTATTAACATTAAAAGGCAGTTTTATCTCATTATTTTACTGAGTTATATTTTAAAGCAGACAGATAACTCCAGCATTAAACAACAGAATAGATGATTGATGCTTAGTTATGTGTTGTCATTTAGACTGATGATTTTTCCTCATTGTTCCTGAATAAAATTTGCTGTTTCAGCACTGATCTAAATAGTTACAGAATTTTTTTGTTTCCCTCATTTTTTACATTACAAAATCCTTTTTACAGATGAAATTATGCATCTTTTATCCTTTAAATATCCTAGGGATGATTTTATGTGCATTCAGCTCATAAGGCTTTGCCTGAGAAGATGTTAAAGCTGGTCATTTTAACCACACTCACAACTAAACACCACTAGTTAATCAGATGTGTTGCTTTTGATAGCAGAAGTGGACTTCAGGTAGATGATTCAGAGAGAATCTAAGTAAAGTCTAGAAAAAAGTGAGCCAAGTGATGAAGAGAGAAACCACACAACAGCAGACTCAAAAATAAGAGAGATACTTTGGAACACACACACTGCTCCTTGAACGCCTCCAGCCAGAGCTGGGCGGTGCTGCTCATTGTGGCACTTGGTTCTCAGCTAAGGCTTTGCCTTTTCACAGCTACTCACTCCCTGTATTGGAAATGCAGATCATAAAACAGGAGGCTATGGAAGAGAATGGAAAATTTTGACAGTAGTTTTATTTTATCGACATGATCCATTTTTATAAGTACTTTTTAAAAGTTGTTACACAAAACTGTGAGCAGGGACTATACAAACCTGTAGCCTGTGCATAAGTGTGACCCATGGGCCTTTCTGGGAATTTTGTTAATGGTCTTATAATATCTTCTCAAAAATGTATTTCTAAGCTTTTCATTCCTGTACAAAGACACTTGTTTTTCCCACTTTTATCCTGACCAGACTGATTCTGTTGCATTTCAAACCCCACCATCCCTTTCTACACCAAGTCAACTGTTAGTCCCAGAATGCACTCAGTTTCTAGTACCTTGACAATGTATGTTAGTGCTTCATGATATTACTGGGGGTTTGTCTCATTACACTCTGGTTGTCTATGGTAGCTGTGTCTCCTCAATATTTTATTCCCCTACCACCTGTAACCATCAGAATTTAGTTATTAACACATTGCTGAAGCATGTTCAGTGATAAGAAATACATTATTTTAGTTTATTTTTATAGACCCTTCTTTATGAATGCCTTCTTTATGAAGTGATCTGTGAATAATGTCAGTTATTGTAGGTATTTCTTAGCTAGTGTTTTGGGAAGGGTTTGGGTTTGAGAAAGGAAGTGAGCAGTACTGCAAGGATGGTGGAGATGAAGTTGTACATGACTGGTAAAGTGAAGTAAGTGTGACAGTGGCAGTTGGTGCTCTGCTGTGATGCTTACACTGCCACTTCTGTGGTGTTAGTTGTGTATTTGGTACGTCATTTGCAGCCTCCTATGTTTTGCAAGACAGGATTTTTGGACTGGTGTTTGGCACTTAAATATCTATCTCCTCTCTAGGAAAAGAAGAGGACATAATAACTATTTCCCCAAGAACATTGTTTGTTTCCAAAAACGGATGTACGTTTTTAGCAGCAGGTAAGATAATATGCATTGTTATTCTCATGCATATTTATATTTGTAGTTCTGCCATCTCTTTTCCCCCCTCTCTTTTGGATGACATATTTTACAAGGCTGTCAAATCCCTTAGTAGCAATTAATATTGTTATGTGATGTGTACTCCTTAGTATGTGTCAGAAGTGGATGATATTTAAGCCTTGTCAGTAGAAACAAAGAGCTAATAAGATTAATTGACACATGAAGATAATGAAGGAATCAGACACCTTGTGATCCATAGCTGGAATATATCTTCTTCAGGATAAGCTTCTTACAGGCATCTGCCTATTTTGTGCATGAGGAACTGACTGAACACTTCAGGCTTACATTTTAATTTGTGATAGTTTGGTTAAAACGCAGATCTGTTTATATTTTAGAGCAATAGATTTATTTTAATACTCTGTTTTCTAGATTTTTCCCATATTGAATTAAGGATCCTTGCTGACTTATCATCTGAACCAGAACTTTTGAAACTGTTCCAAGAACCTGAAACCACTGATATATTTTCCACACTGGCTGCTCAGTGGTAAGAGTAAATGTTGCATTTTTAAATAGTAATTAGACTAAACAGTAAGAATAACCTAAACTATTGTATTGCTGCATAATGATTACAAAAGACACTATTTTGCTACAGTACCTATTCTTAATACTGTTTTACTACCATGAATTATAACCACTTTCTGTCTTTCTAAGCCTTTTCTTCTCCACTGTGGTAATTACCACATATTGAAGTGTTGCAATCCAACTGACCGATATGAGCCTTGTGGCTAAAGCTGATGCAATAATACACAGTAAGCAGTGTTTGCTGATAACTTCCTCAGTGTATTATTGTTCACCATTTCTTTTTAAAGATGGGTGTATTATTTGGGAAAAGTGGTACTCTGGTAATTTATCAAAAAGTTTTTATTATTTCCATATCCAGATTATTATTGTTTATTGACCCCTTCAGCATGCAGATCAAAAGATTAACTATCAAAAATAAGCTGGAATATTATTTACTTAGCGGTTGAATGTATCTCTTATTGTTTGTATCATGGTGATGCCTAAAAGTCTCACTTGGGACTAAGACTCTCCTTGTACTCAAAAGTGCATGAGCATTCAGTAAATGACAGGGCAGATGGGAAGACATTCTTGCTACTGAACAGATAGGTCAGAAAAAGATTCAATAAAATGCTGTTACAAAGCTGTTTGAGCAGAATGATGTCATGTAAGTGTCATGCAATTTTCTTATTTTCTCTTTGTTCACCTCTCTCATTTATCTTTTTGTCTCCATTTTTTTGTTGGAAGATGGTTAGCTGAAAATGAAAGCCAAAATATATATGAATGGTCAAGCTCAATTCTTCTCCTACCATCTCTAAATATTTGCAGACATAGCCTTCCCGACCACAGTATTTTCTACCCACTTCAGTAGGTCATAGAATCTTAGAATCCTAGAATGATTTGGGTTGGAAAGGACCTTAAAGACTATTTAGTTCCAACCCCCTTCCATGGGCAGGGACACCTCCCACTAGACCACGTTGCTCAAAACCCCATCCAGCCTGGCCTTGAGTACTGCCAGGGATGGAGTGTATTTGTGAGTATGCTCTGAAGTCATATAAAGAAACAAAACAAAGCTCAAAATATAATTACTCTGCTACCAATAGCCGAATCGGTGCTTGAGGCATGTGCATTCTGGGAGAACACAATTCAAGATCACAAACATTCCAACAAATTTATCCATGGGAAGATAACCTTCCTTCTAGAGTCACTTGAAAGTGTAAATAATTGATATTGTAATAAATTCTTAGCTCTAACCTGATACCGCTAGAACCTCGTGATGGAGTCCGATCCTTATTTTAGTTTGGTGGTATATTGGAAATGTATGCATGAAGATGAGTCAAATTTTGTCTCAGCTCTGGGCATGGCTCCAGAAATACCATTCTATTCAGCAATCTCACAGCTCCTGGCAGCCTTCAGCCTCTTACAGTTGCTACATGGTAACTTTAAATTTAATGAAATATTACAGGCAAATATTTTTATCAGACAGAATTGTCATGGTGTGTCTACAAAATCATTACATGATGATTCTGCTGACTGAAGCTTCAGGAAAGCTAATGCTTGGAAGCAACTTTCTATTTAATTTATTATACGACTGTTATTAATCACAGAAAACATGAAGGCTGTGTTTAATCTCATCTAACCTTGGATGTCTGTCATATACTTGAAGAGATTTACTTGACCTATTGGTGATGTTCCCTGTGTTATATAGATCAATTGTCCATTAAAAGTGTTGATTTCTCACCATTGACAGCAAAGTAGGTCTGGGCTGCTCAAACGTAGGCATCTGTATCTGTAATGACAAATTTAATTCCTCCTATTGGATCAGTTCCTAGTGAACTCACCTTGGATTTTGGAAATTTTGTCCTGAGTTTCCTTAGCACTGAAGAAAAGACATAAAATTACAGGCTTCACCGATGCTTTCCCATCCCAGATACTTATTCATCTCTCCTAGTCCACTGCAGATAAATAAAATCTTTAGGGTCAACAGTTAGTTAATTGACTTTATTGTAGCTGATTCCACTCCATTGGTATTAGAAGCAAGTTATGAGAAGAGGAAAATACATAACAACCCTTCCATCTCCTCTTGGTCACCTGGTTTTCTCTGGGTCTTAATCCTTTAAAATCTGTGCAAGAGATGTACCAAAGGGCATAGCAAATGTATTGTTCTGTTTGAAGGAATTGCACATTGTTGCTATTTGTAAATCCTTTCTAACATATTTTGGACAATTGGAAGACCTTGACAAAAAAGTTTTTTTCCCTAAGAGATCTATAAAGAATGGATTAGTTTCTGAAGCTCCCTCTCAGAAGAAAAACAATTAAGTTAATGTTAGTGTCTGATAGCATTTCAGCTTCTGAATGTATGTCAGTTGGTATCTTTTAGCCAGTTTTCTGCATCTAAAAATCCCTACAGTAATGATTATTAAATCATAAATAGTGAAGAATATATTACTGCACAGAAATCTGAGCCACGCTTCAGAGTCCAGCTAAGTTTTATACCAGTTTATTGACTTCTTTCTCTAAGCTTCATAACTTCTTCACTGAAACATACCTCCGTTCCTTTGCTGCCCTTCAGGCTAAAGCCTTCTGTCTGAAATCCAACCTTTTGAAAAACCTCTCAGGCTTTTTATAGCATTTGGCAACAAATACACATGGTGGGCAGTTTCTGCAAAGAGGTGAGCTCTATGAGTTTCTGATTGAATTAAGATCCCTTATATATAAATGCTTTCCTTTCATAATTTGGTTAGGCAATGATGTATTGTGACTCAGCCTGTCTCTGGGACCCTAGAGATAGGCATCTCTCTTGGAAACCTGTTAGATCCATGCTTCTGTTAAACATCCTTCATATGGAATCTTTACACTGGTCAGCAGTGCAGGTAGAGATGCATAAATATGTGTCAGTCCAAGCTGTGTCTAATACAGTGCAGTAGAAGGCTGAATGGAGGTACTAATGTTCGTGTTAAAACTCAGTGTCATGTACAATACCATACCCACTGAACCCAGGTGAGAGGCAAACCTCTTGGCAGGGCTGGGCTGTGATCTTGTACTCCTATGGTGAACTTTCAGAGACAGCTCGTTTCAGCAGTAACACAGCCTCCCCCACCCTGGGCATCCCTGCACTGTGCTCAGCTGTTTGCTGGGTGTTCTCTTTGACAGGACTATCTTGAAATTGCTGTTCAGATAGAACCCTCAGAAGCTGCTGTTAATTACTACAGAAGCACAGAATGGTTTGGGTGGAACAGGGCCTTGTAAAGATCATCTAGTCCACTCTTCTGCCATGGGCAGGGACATCTTTCACTAGACCAGGTTGCTCAAAGCCCCATCCAACCTGGCTTTGAACACTCCCAGGGATGGGGCATTAGCTGGTCACTTAATGTAAGTTACTGGATAATGTCATGCTTGGTCTCATGTGTTTTAAGTGTGGTTGCTTTTCTTTTCACATGGGAATAAAGTTCATGGAAATCTATTCTATAGAATTCATGGAATAAAATAAAAATGCTGTCTGTTGGTGACTTCGCTGTAGATTTGCTTCTACTGGCTGTTTTGGTCAGTAAAACGTCCAAGCTCATCTCTGCCAATATGTTTCCTGGTCATTTAACACAGTTTTGCCAGCTAAAATCAAGATGATGTAAATTTTAATTGATGAGATTTTAATGTTCAATTGTATATGCTTAGTACTATTCCTACTGTTCTCCTGTCTCTGTGACGATGATCGTAAGGTATTACCAAAATTATTTTACAGTGAGTGCTGCCTTATGGCCTATGAAGAGTAAGCCTTAACTGACAGGTCAACACCTGCTATTACATGAGCACCAAGAGTGCATTACCTTAATGACACACTTGCTACTGGACACATGGTGAAGTTTCAAGCCTTGTCTAGACTTTGGAAAATTCATGATATAATGGATTCCAGCTACCTGCAAGATCACCTTGTGTTATATTGTCTTGATGTCCTATGACAGATATAGCCCTTTTAAATCCAAATCATTGTTCCAGTGCTGAAGATGACGAGAGCTGTCTTGGCAGCTGTCTGACCAGCCAAGTGACCTAACTGCCATTAGACATCCAAATGACAACAACCCTCAGGATGAAATTGCTCTCACTTCTTTAATATAGCTTTTACACAATAAATCAAAAATAAGTAATTGAATTTAGGATGCAGCTGATGGGCATATCTTAAAATCATTTGCAAAGATAGATGCTGAAAAATAGGGTTACAGTCTTTTAGGTGGTCTGCAATTTCTTTCCTAGTTAGAGATGCAATGAATACGAATGTCTTTTGAACTGTTCTTTTGTCACCCTTCTCAGCAGGTTGTTGTTCCTCCATCATAGTATGTACTTATATTGACCATATTGGGTCAAAATCCAGGAAAAGTACTTAGATTTAGCTAAGTACCTAAGCACACCCTAAATATGTGATTTCATCTTACCTGACTTATGCCTACTTTCCTTCCTGAGTGCTTTTTTGATTTGGGATAGTACTGCTTCAGAGTTCCGATGAATCAAGCTATACCTAAAATATTTGGGTACATCCTTTCCTCTGTCTCTTTAGAATCTGCCTCAGAGAACTGGAGATCTCTAGTGGTGATGAGTTCAGCTGCATCCAGCAGAGCATAGTGATACCCTCCATCAAGGGTCCTGAGGGCAGCCTAGCCATACAAATGGGGATGTGTAAACTGGATATTAGGAAGATATTTCTTACAGAGGGAGTAATCAGGCATTGGAATGTGCTGCCCAGGGAGGTGATGGATTCATCAGCCCTGGAGGTCTTCAGGATGAGACTGGATGAGGCACTTAGTGCCATGGTCTAGTAACCATGGTAGGGTTGGACTCGATGATCCTAGAGGCCTCTTCCAATATATTCCAAAATATTATTTATGGCTCTGAACTTACTTAAAACATTTTAATCTTGAAGCTGTCACTATGTTCCAATGTTTGCTACAGGCATCTCAGATATCTGCAAATTATGTATATGTCCTAAGTTTTAGA